TGGCAAGAGCAACCCAGTGTTTTTGCTAGGATTATCTGGTCAGGGCTCAAAGTGCTGCCTAGCTTTCTCTAGCTGTCGCTGTCCCACTTTCACTTCTGTAGGAGGAAGAGAATTTGCTGTGGTTGTGGCCACCTAATTCCCTTTTCTTCCCTCAATTGCTGCTAGAAATTACTTTCAAAATATAATGCATATTGTCAGGTGTGTTAATGATACTTTTTCCCCTAAAGAACTGTCTTGATGTGATTTTTGACTAATCAGCATCATGGCAGAAATAGGACTTCTTAAATACTTCAGAGGTGCATAACGAAGTGATTAATGGAGAATTAAGACTGAACGGCACTACCAAAATGAGATTAATTACCATGTTTTGTGACACGCTGTTTAGTCCATAAAAAATGCTCATACTAACTTTCTTACACGTTTGCTTCTGCAGTCAGGGCAAAACATAGATCTTAATTAGAAAAATACCATGTTCAGTGATGTTGTTTGGTCTGTTTTGGTGCTGTTGAACCACAGGTGAAGAACTCTTGTTTTAAGTTATCTAGAGTAGGCATAGGAGGAGGATGATACTTGTGTCTCTTTGAATTAGGGCTTTGTGTTAATCTGACACTTGCCATGAACCTGTAATTTCACTTAGATTTGTGACATCATTGCTGGTAAATAATTCTCTGTGGAAGAACTGATGAAGTTTTGAAACTTGAGCAATTTTAAGCAAATCCTAAAGAGCAGAGCAGTATACTCTTGAGTTGAAGTATGTTTTCTAACAAGTTTTTTATCTGCGTCCTTTCCCAGATCATTGGGACTCTAGAAGAGGTCCATATGCCTCAGAATGGAATTAACCATCCTGGCATAACAGCACTGGCCCAGGCCTTTGCTATCAACCCGCTGCTTAAGGTTATAAACTTGAATGACAACACCTTCACAGAGAAAGGAGCTGTGGCCATGGCAGAGGTGAGTTGTTTTAAGCAGTTACTTTGAGTAAGTCTAGTTAGCATTGGCACCTTTGGGTCAGTGGAACCACATGTCATGCTGTGATGGGAAAGATGACATTCTAGAAGTGGTAGGACATTCATTTACTTGCATGTGTGTTTCAAATTTGTGCTGTCCTGCTCTTCAGACTCTGAAGGCGCTTCGGCAGATTGAAGTGATCAACTTTGGAGACTGCCTGGTGCGTTCAAAGGGTGCTGTTGCTATTGCTGATGCTGTTAAAGAAGGACTTCATAAATTAAAGGTATTGTATTCTTGCTGTCCAGCTCTCTTGAGAAATGGAAAACTCGGCATTTTTGTTTTTTTCTGCCCATTCTCCTACCGCTACTGATTAGTGGGATTCACTTTGGTGCAGGCTCTGTGTTCCCAACTGAAAAGAGTGTCTCTCTTCATGAACAGCTTGTTATCTCCTCAGCATTTCATAGTTCATACAGCTAATGCTTTTCCTTTGTTAGGGTATCTATCAAAGGTCCAAGTATTTTTAGTTTTTTTGGCAATACCACAGCCTCCTACGTCAGTATTTCCACAGGACTTGAATCTGACAGCGTTCTAGACAGGCTGAAGTCAAGTCAATGTAAGTAAACTAGGATCTCTAGAAACACCTGCCATGAGTTATAACTGCACTGAGATGGATGCTGAACACAATTCCTAATCTTGCAGTCAAAGACAAAAATTCATCTGAGTTCTAATACCTATTTGTGTGTATGAACTAGTATAGAAAGAAGTAGGTCTTTAGTGGTATGAGATCCCTTGCTTGGGCTTCTGCTTGTTCTACTGGAATTTGTTTCTCAGTCTCCCAGGAAAACTTAAATAATGGAGATATTGAGATGAACAGCCAGAAGTTAAACCCCTTTTCCAGAGCAGAAAGGGTTAAGGGAGGGTTACATGAAGTAATCACAGCTGATTCATTCTGTTCAAGGACTGCTTCCCTTCTGCTGTTAATATTAAATCCCTTCTTGGGTAAGGATTGAGCACAACGTGGAGTGGTGGGGGATGGTGTCTTCCTGTTGAATAACTTTAGTCTTACTAGTCTGTGCACGTGGTTTCTCTGTTGGCTGTGTTTATCAGAAGTAATACCACTCATGGCTTGTCTTTGGAGGGCCTTAACTTGCAACTAAAGTGTCAAAAGCAAATGTGCAGTCTATTTAGTACAGTAGCTATCTTTCTTCAGTTAGACTTACTGGAGTGTGAGTTCTGGGGTGCTCTTGTAACGCTTGATAAGTAAGTGAAGATCTCCAATCAGGTGATTGCTAAGGACTGAAATGTCTTCTACCTTTTAGGTGAGCAGTGATCTCTAGGCATTTTAAAATGGCTACCTTTTGTAGTGCTGCCCTTAACACCAGCATGTTTCAAAATTCCCCTTTCAGGTATGAGATAGGAGTATGTGTCAGGTTTTATTTTCAATTAAAAACACGTCTTTTCCTGAGAGTCTTTTCAAATGAGTCTTTTCAGAACACTTGTGAGCACAAGAAGTTCATGGGCATGATGGATGTTAATAGGAATTCTGCAAATGTATGTTCTTCTGCTTCTTAGGAACTGAATTTGTCTTTCTGTGAAATCAAACGAGATGCTGCTCTGACTGTTGCTGAAGCTATTGAAGATAAGGCAGAGTTGGAGAAGTTGGATCTCAATGGTACGTAAGTTTGCTAGATCCAAGTATCTCTCATTTGGTTCCGATAGAAACCACTAGGAAGAATGTTGACAGAACCACATATTGTAGTCTTTGAGTTGTCAGCATTTAAAAAACAGTACTCAAAGTAGCTGCACTTGCATGACCCTGGGACAGGAAGCAGTTTGATCCTGAAAGTTTTCTTAAGCCATAAACTCAGTCAGGAGTTTTTTGGTACATTTCATAAGGTGGAAAGTTTAAAGTAATACCTATACCTGTTTTCAGTAAAACTCTTTAATTATTCAGTGCTATCTCAGATACTCCATACAAAAACCTCTGTGAGAACTTTGACTGTTGTTGACTTTTGCTGTTCATACCTTGGGTCACTGCACTTCACTGGCGCTGTGCTGTGTGTCCTTGTGTCAGAATCGCTGAGAACAAGAGCTGTTTATAGAACTAACAGGCGGTCTCTCAAACACACTCTGAAAAATTGGGGGGTTTTGTCTCTAACCATTGTGTAATACTGCTGAAATTTGTTTAACAACTGTTTGATTCTTTCTGATAACTGCAGTCTGTGTTGTTTCTAATGTGTTGTGCAGAAATGGCCTATAACTGTTTGATTTCAGAAACAAGATAGACAACATACAGCTAAATCTTCTAGAACAAACCTGTGCGCATCTGTTAAGTCTACTCCCTTTCCTCTATCAACCTAGGTAACTGTCTGGGAGAAGAGGTATGTGAGCAACTCCACGAGATCCTTGAAGGCTTCAATATGGCAGCTGTGCTGGGATCTTTGAGGTATGCAGGGTACCAGAGTTTGAATCAGAAATCTTCTGACAATTTGCATCAACACATCCCTTCACCTATGTCATTATAAAATAAGAACTCTGTCGTTGCTGATGGATGTTGGTCTGAGTGTGGAGCCACGGCCAAGGGATTCCATAAGCAGGATATGCCTTGTCTTGTTTTCATTCAAGGACTTACCTTAGTATTAGCTGTTGATTGTGTTCCTCAGTCTTTTCTTGCTGTTGTCAACTGTGTGACTGGAACCTTAGTGTCCTCTTGGTCTGTTGTAGGTGAGATATGCCTCTTGCAGTAAGGCTTGAGGAGAGGCTGCTCTCTTGTTCTTGAAAAAATGTTAAGTGCCAGTATACATGAACTGCAAGTGTGTAATTAACGTGTAACACTCAAATCTTAGTGATGATGAAGGGGAGGAGGATGATGATGAAGAGGATGAGGATGAAGATGAAGAAGAGGAAGAGGAGGAGGAGGAACAGCAACAGCTGAAGGAGAGAGGAGAGGAAGAACAGGAGTCACTGACACCTAAGAAGATTATTGATTCACAGGTAAACTTACTTCCAGATGGATTCCTGTTTCCTCAACTGGAGGAGAGTAAAGGAGGAAATGAGACCTAGAGTGAGTCTGAACTTGAAGTGCTGACGGGTATTCACATTCCTGCAGGAGCTGCTACTGTTGTAACAGGGAGAACATTCAGGAAATTAAGAAAATGGGTTACTTGAAAAATGTAAAAAAGTGTGAAAGTATTGAAAAAGCGTGCATGTGTACACATGCGTGGAAGGAAAGGCTGAGTAGTGGTTGTAACAGCACACAGGTGGAAAGAGTCTTCCCATGTTCAGAAAGTGGTAGGAACCTCGTACATGCAGTGCCATGCAGCTGTGCCAGCATATTCTGGCTGTTCCAACTCTGGGCTCGTGTCAACCTCAAACAATTTTCAAACAGAACAGATGTGGCTGTGTCCTGATGTGTCCCATGTGCCTTTGTTGAATCAATTTATTTATTTCCAGGAATGAACTTGAGATGGATTCTGTCTGTTTCAGGCTTCAACTCCAGTGCCATCTCCTCCTGTGGATGTTGCCACATTCCTTGCTTTCCCATCACCAGAGAAGCTGCTGCGACTAGGACCAAAGTGCTCTGTGCTGATAGCTCAGCAGGTAGGGGAGATGGTCATCTGTGCTTGATTTTTTTTTCTCTCAGAATTATTTATTCCCCAGAGGTGATAACTTTCTTTTGAGACCTAGTTTTGCATCTTCTCTCCAGCGATCCCAAGGAACCTTATGAAAGCAGATGATGCAGTTAATGCTTATACTGGCATCAGAGTTTCTACATAGTAATCTTGTTTCTGTTGCTTTGGCTTTGTGGTGTGGCCGAGGCAAAGCTGATGTCAGTCACTTGAAGGCTGTAATTCTTGCCACAACCCTAGCAGAGACCCATGTTCTGTAGCTGATGAGCGGTGAACTGATTTCTTTTTTTTTTTTTTTTCTCTTTCAGACAGATACATCTGATGTAGAGAAAGTAGTTGCAACTCTCCTAAGGATATCATCAGTCTTCAAAGATGAAGCCCCAGTGAAAACAGCAGTGCATGAAACAACAGGTGACTGTGCCTTTCTTCACTTTGTGGTGTGACCTGCTCCAGTGCCAAGGACACCACTGCCCTGTGGGCGAGCCGCTGGGCCTTTTTGTCCCTGGCAGATAACAAAGTACTGAGCTGTGCCACACTGTGTGGAGTGAAAGCAGAGATTCATTCTGAACTTAACATATCCTATGCTGCGAAAGCTTGGCGATGATTGTCTGTTATAGCTGCTGTTGTAGTGGACCTTTGCTGCCCTTCCTGCATCTCCTTGATGCCAGGCTGTCCGTAGCCAGTAGTTCTGTGTTCCAAGGTCAGTCACTTTTTCAAGGCTCTTTATTTAAAAAGCATTTTGCAGGAATGAGCCTCCCCGTTGTAGCATTACAAGAGCATAGAGACCCCCTAGTTGATGTCTTTGTCAGTCAGACATCTTGAATTTTTTCAGGAAGCAAAGATTTCCGATGGGGGCCAAGGCACAGAAACGATGTTCAGACAAGGGACTGTTTTTCACAGTATATTGTGGAGCAAGAATTTGGGTTAGGTTTGATTAGTGTGTGGACTAAATAGTTATTCCTTCACATTCTTGCTTGGAAACAGGAATTTCCAAACGATTCTAGGCATTTAGTTGGTTTTTTTCTTCCTTTACTTAAGGACTGGGACTTTTTTATCTTTCTAAGTGTTTCAGAGATTATACCTAGTCCCTGCAGAGACAATGGAAATCTTAAGTGTTATGTCCCAAAACTCTTTTAACAGCTGATATTCCTCGAGTTTCTGTATGATCAATCTTTAACCTTAAAACCCATAAATGTCCTTTTTCTGTATTTAATATAATGTGCTTATTTATTTTTAGATGCCTTGATGAAAAAAGCCTTCAGTTCTGCCACATTTAATTCAGATGCATTCATCACAAACCTTTTGATCCACATGGGACTACTTAAGGTGAGGAAGCAGGAAAGAGTTAAGTTATGGTCTGTTTAGGCCGTTGAAGACCAGACTGGCTGAGTTTTGGGTAATTATGTTGCCATGGAAGCAGCTGGGTGCCTGTGCATGCCTGATGCCCAGGGACAATGGAAGTCTGCAGGTCCAGCAGAAACTGCAAATTGCAAGGTTGCATTAGGATGAAGGACATGTCACCTCTCTGTATGTCTTCTGCTTAATGTGCTCTGCATTCTCAGTCATCCCCTAAAGGCAGAGAGGGCCAGGTGAGGCAGTAGTGCTGCTGCTGGACTATGGTGTCTATAAAAAGCTATGTCCAGGAGTCTAATCTACAATATTATTAGTTAATTGACATTATTATTAGTCCTTGAGGGCACTTCTTGATAGCACTGCTCAGAAACATGTATCCAGTTATTCATGCCAGATCAGTAGTGTACAACTTCATGCTTTGGAGTCTCTTTGCTAAATGCTAATGTGAAATATGTAGTTACAGAGAATAAACTTTAGCAAGAAAAGCTGGAAGGTCAGGAGGAAACCTGTGAATTACATTAGAATACCTGTAGCTTTACTTTGAGTGAGGTGACTGGGGAGAGGTTCTGTCTGCAGACTTAAAACACCTTTGCTTGCTTGTGCTGCAGGCATTAATATTTCTCACTGTCTCAATGCTTGGAAGCTGAGAATGGAAACTTGGGCCAAGACAATTCTAAACTACAGAGTAGCCATGATCTGTTATAGCGGCCTGCTATTAAATAGGTCTATGGATGTCCTTCTGCTGATACCCAGCTTGGGGTACAGACGACTCTTGACATGCATGGATAGATCTTATTTTCCTAAAAATCAGTTTAGCTTCTCCCTGTGTTTATTGTATGTTGGACCAACACTGTGCTTCCTGCTTCTTAGGAAGGTCAACAGAATCTGAGGTGGTATTTTGTTCTGCAGAATGTCTGTTTTGGAAACTGCCACCTACCTCTGCCCCGTATGGAAAATAGCAAATATGCATGAGGCACAAAGCACAGACCTGTGCTCCAGGGGAGTTCTTTCAGGCCAGGAAGTGGCTTTGATAATAAAGCCCTTGAGGATCAGCCAGCTGACCGTGATATGCCTAATTCAACAGTCCTTGATGTGTGGAGAGGGAGTGTACTCCATTTTCTGTCCTACATAGATGGAAGCACGTGAGCCACAGATACTCCTAGCACCATGCACTCTGAGGTCATACTCCTAGGAACACAGGTCTAGATCCTGTCTGCAGAATGAAGGGTTTTGTCAGAATGGCAGCAGGGAAATAAAAGCAGCGTAAGAGTTGGGGCATGTAGGTTAGTGTCACATTACGAGCAAGAATAACTTATGCATCATGTAAGCAGGGGGATGACTATTGGTTTTATCTTGTAAACAATTAAAACCAGTTTTGGGAATACTGCATCAAGTTCTAGGAGAAGCCTGTCAAAGAGCTGAAGATGGTATAAAAATAAGCAACAGCATAATACAAGAGAAAACTGTTATTAAGGCAACTGAATTCTTTATGGATTGAAGTCTGGTGATGTTCCATAGGAGAACACTTTGACACAGGACCTCTGAGAAGATTTGGCTGTTTCACTTGCAAGTTCACCACTTCCCTTTCCCCATTAGTACTGCTGTCAATTGATAAGTACTAGAATATTCTTGATACTTTATTTCAAGTGCTAGGAGTCTGTGGAATTGGCTACCTTTGTGTTGTGGAACATTGCACTTTATCTAGTGACCATCTTTCTCTGCTACAATGTATGGGAACACTTTATTCAACAGAGAATTTCAGTCCTTCTGTGAATTACAGTGGTTTAGATAAAATTGTGATTGTCTGATTTCTGACTTGATCTTCTTGTCCATTTCTCAGAGTGAAGAGAAAATCAAAGCTGTTCCGAGCCTTTATGGTATTCTTATGACCTTGAACCATATGGTCCAACAGGATTATTTCCCTAAATCCCTGGCCCCAGTTCTCTCTGCTTTTGTCACAAAGTGAGTATTGTACTTGCCTTGCGGTTTTCTCCATGGGAGCTAGTGAAACTCTTGGAGTTAATAGCTATGTGCAAACTGTTCTGATAAAACACGGAAATTGAGGATTGATAGTTTAATGGGCCTCTCCTTTTTATCTTGTTTACTCCAGTATGTGAGGTTCAGAGTAAACAAACAAAAAAAAAATTGATCCTAAAGAATGAATAGTGGGAAGTTGGCTTTGCCACAAAGTGGCTCTGAAGCAGATACTGCTAGTTCCTGTCATAGAAGAAGTGTTTTGAGCTTAAGGAAACCTGCTGGGTTTCTGGCCACTGCTTGAGTGAACTGTGAGCACACTGGATCTAACTGTGCCTTCCAAATCATCTTTCTGAGTACGAGGGTCAGCAGAGCTCTACCAGAATTGTCATGCTGTGTGACACTGAACACCAGCAGATGAAAGCACTGCAAAACACAAAGACTGAATTTGTTTCGAAAAGAAACTTCCTACTGTGACAGCAACAAAGTTAGTGATTTTTCTGGGAACTAAATTGGGAGCGTAAATATTGAAGAAGCTTCTTTTATTGCCTACCTGTATTTAATGTTATTTCTACTATAGGTATAGAATCAACCCCTGCCCCCACCAGCTTTAGCTTTAATGTATTAAATGGCTATGGAGACTGTACCTCTTCTGGCTTAAATCAGTGTGAACTTCAGCATTAATGAGACTTGAGAGATAAAAAAAAAAAAAAACACCAAATAGACCTTTCCTCAGGACAGGAAGGATAACATACTGCTATTCAGAAGTCAAGAGGAGAAGCAGTCCAAAAATGCCAATTTAGGCAAAACCAGCAGAGGTCTGACATCCCTTTGGAGCTTGGTAGCTGTTTGGCTCAGCATGGACCACGTGCCACGTAGGGTGAGGGCAGCTTTGTAACAGGTTCCAGAATGAGGCTTAAGCCTTCCTGAATTTTGTGGTATGTGCATTATATGCAGATGCTTAGGATCTCTTGCTGATGAGAAGTGGAGGCATCAGGTACTTGTGGTCAGTATGAAACACGGGCAATAGGAATGCAGTAAAGTATTGGTAGTCTGTCTTGGGAAGCTGGCCATTTGTGATGGGGGGAGGGAAGAATTTTTCTGAGCACTGGTATGGCTGAAGCTGTCAAAGCTGATGTCTGGCAGTGGTTTGTGTCCATAACCACCAGTCGTGCTAAGGTCAGTCTGGGGAGAATAAAATACCTTGTTTACACCTGTGCAGATGCTAACCTGGAGGCCCTTCTCATGGAAAATTTCTCTTTGTCTTGATCAGGTTAAGAATAAGGCAGTTACAAGCCAACGATCATGTGCTTTACCAATTGAACAAATGTACTTCCCAGCCCAATCATTATTTAAGCAAGAAGTATCAGGACTTTCCATGTGAAATTTCCAGACAGATCACTGGATTACTGCTGTTTCCTACATTGTTGCCAGTGCCTGTGATCTTGCTTGTTGATCAAGGCCCAGCCCTCAAACCAGAATTTAAATGGCTGGGAGCTAAGAGTACAGAAAAAGGGACTTTGATTCAGGGCATTTGACTGTTCTAATCGCTCATGTCAGGTACCCGTGCCTAGAGTAGCCTCTTAACTCAACTTGATGTGTCCTTCTAAACAAATTTTGCTCACAAAAGACACTTGTCACCCCTCTCCCAGTATGTGTGAATGTAGGCCTCTCCCAATAAGTGTTTTTCAGCTGTGCATGATGCTGTATGTGACAAAATAAAAGTTCAGTTCTGGTTTTAATTCATCCATCAACAAAAATCCCATTGATTCCAGAGCCAGCATTTCACTGCAAGTACAAGAGAGGAGTCTCTGAGAGTGTGGGATTGCTCAAAGGTTCTGTAGAAGCTGAGTGAGAGCCAAGAGCCTCTCACAGTAGAAGGCAGATCTCTCTGCCTGTCTGTGGCGCTGATGCCAAGCCTGCAGTGTCCCTGGTGCTATGCAATTCTTGGAGCTGAAGCTTTGATTTGCAAACCCCAGTCTTTTAAGGTGTGTTATAGGGGAAACTTATGTCCTGTGCAGCATAATGAAGTCCATAGTGTATACAAGCAATATACCTTGGTTTTACATAAATATATGCATTTCTTTAAATGCTTTCCCTAAGGGAACAAGGAGAACAGCTCTTAAATCCTTAAATACAACAACTGTTTCCAGCACAAAGTCAAAACACAGCCCCCTATCAGCTACTGTGAAGAAAATTGCCTCTATTCCAGCCACAACTGACACACAGCTTCTCAGTTAACCTCCACTCCTGGTCTCTTCTTGGATTTCAGTCAGAGTTAAGTCCGTCCTATTCTTAAACCTCCAACTGGTTAAACTAGTAGTATCCAGAACTCATCTGGGCTCTGTTTCTGCAACAAATCTGCTTCTACTCTATTGAACCCATGATTCCTGCACTTGCAGAAAACACCATTTTTGTGCTGTTTTCTAATTTTTCCCTTTTTGGGTTGCAGTTAGCTCTTTTGGGCTGCTAGAGCTGTAAAGTTCCTGTAACTGCCTAGGCTAGAGCTCTGCTGCCTTTTGCTGCAAGGGCCTGTGGGAGTAGTAATTTGCCTCCTTTCTTTTGTGACATTTGATGATGTAGGCAGTGTTCTCTATTGGGTAATTATAAAATTATGGATACAGACTATAAGCAACATCCATCTTACTCTGCTGCTGTCAGGCCTCACTTCGGTTTTTTTGGACACAAGAGGGTGCTGTGAATCCACATGTGCTTTTGCATTACTTTTCAGCTGGAAACACTGGAAGTGTGTGGATGCCTGCCTGCCCAGTTGTGACTTGCTGGAGGTGGTGGGGTTGTTGTTTGGTTGTGTTTTGTTTTGTTTTTTTTTTTAAGTGCTGCTCTTTGAATTGCATCACATCACTGGCCTCTTTCAGCGTTCTGCAGCACAGAGTGGCAGGCAGTTTGACTCCACAGCAAATAAGGAGGCTTGTAGTGTTAGAGGAGGCTTGGTGTTAGGAGTGGAGGCTGAGGGAGCTTGGCTGTGGTCAACATCAGCAGTTCAGGTTCTCTATTTTGAAAACTGGGCATCTGCCTGGATGGAAGCAGCCTGCTCCTAGCAAACAGGGCTGGGTCTTCCAAAGGTGATGGCTGAAATAGCTCACCCAGCCACTTTAAAGATAAATCCCTAGCTGTAATTTTGGGACACTGTGTGTTCAGTGTGGGGCGTTGAATGGCTCTTGAGGGAATAAAAAGGGTTAAATCTTCTCCAGGATGTGCTTCTGTTAAACTGCAGCAGACATGGAGTGCTGTACCAAACAACCTCTGCAAGCTATTGTTCTTGTGCTGTAAACCCAGAGGTGAACTCCTTGCTCCTTCCTAAATATTCCATTCTTTATTTCAGCTCACCCTACTTTGCCAAATTGAGTAGGCTTCACTGCTATTCATTGTTAAAGGTTATTTTGCTATGGTGGGGTGGGAGAGAGGTAAAATTAATGATTTCCCCTCCTAGAACAGTAGAAAACATTGGATTAACATTCTTTGGAGGAAGTTCCCTAATGGATGGATAGAGACTGTTAAACGTTTTAGTGATGCTTAGCCAGCAATTAGCCTGTAGAAAGAGAAATATATGTTACTGGGAGGCAATGGGAATGTTAGGGGCACTTACCCTCGTGTTAACCCTGCTGTATTTCCGTTGTTTAATTTCAAGGAGCAGATTATTCTGTGTGATTTAGACTTTGTTATTGCAGCCTCTGTGACAGGCCCTTTCGGGTGCTGTTCTGTAGGTTCTGTGGGCTGTTTGTAAGGTACCCTGAAAGGTGCCTCAGCAAAGCCAGTCAGGTGTTACTTGACCTCAGGGGAGAGGGGACAGGAGGTTATGTTGCCTCTTTCAAAGACTCAAAAAGCCCTGAGACCAAAGTCACCTTCAGGCTATAGGTAGCAGATGACATGGTGAGGACAGATTTGAGTGTGAGCAGGGTTGTCTTCTGTGTTTTGGGGCCCTAAACAGTGAATCTTCATGGAAAATCCTATTCCCAGAAGAGAGGGGATGGGGTTTCCACCCCCACCCACGTCATTCTACCCAAAATGAAACACTAGGCTGCAGAGATAAGTCGTATATATAGGCTTTTGCTCTTGGAAATAAATGTTCAGATTCTTGTCATTGTCTTCCTGACTTGGATTCAGCAACAGAGAGAGAGTTTTCCACAACAAGCTCTGAATGGGAAACAGTGATCTGGACAGCAATGACAGAATGGTTTCAGAAGAGATAACTGAGGGCAAAAGTTGTAGGTTTTTTGGGCATGCAAGCCCAGTGCATTGGAAATAGTGTTTATTTGCTCACTCAGAGTCAGATACAAAGCAGTTCTTAAATTCAGTATTTTAAATGTGTCTTTCCTCTTTCCACAGACCACACCGTGCTCTTGACTCCTGCTCATTTGCTCGCCACATGCTCTTGCAAACTCTCCACCAGCTGTAAGAGACGAGATGTGCCCTTCTCTCCTCATAGGACTGTTGTCAGCAGAGAACTTGGAGCCACGTGGTGGCAGAGGATCCCAGAGCCCATACAGACATGCTGTCCTTTTTTTCTTCTTTCCCTGTAGGAAGTCTGTCCTTCCTCTTCTTTCATAAACTTGGAAAAATCCTGCTGAATTGTCTTCCTACACCTCTAGAGTGACTCCCTGGTCTGTAGGGCAGGTGCTTATGCTAAAATAAGTCCGTGCTCCTGTGAGCTCAGCATGAATTGAAGAGTTCTCCATTTTGGTTGCATTAGCAAGGGTGTGCCAAGACTAACACGGGGCCCGGAAGTGCTCCCCTCCCGATCAACCCAATTGTGCATTTTATTTTATTTCACTGGACTTTGACTCCTGCCTGATAGCATTCAGCACTGTGCCAGAGGGAGGCTGTGCTGCTGCTGCTGCCACTGTCCCTGCTTCCCTAGGCCAGGGGAATGCTGCTCATGGGTCAGAGGGTGAGGTGTGCTCCCCTTTGGTTCTTCTTTCAAGTCCATTTGTCAAAGGCAGTGTGTGGTTGATTTGTATTTTAACATACCCCTTCCCCTTCTGCTGTGGCTTGGAATATTTGTGTAGTGTGGCTGACACTGGTGGCCATTGCTTAGGGGAGCAAACATATTTTATTGTAAATTTTTTTGAAGTTGCCTGTGTCGTTCCCTCTTCCTGCCCTTTCTCTTCTCTCCCTAATTAAAATAGGCTTGGTTTGGAAATTAATACAATCCATGAAATCCCTGTGGAATATGTGTTCCCTTTCTCCTCCCTTCGCAAAACACTGGGACTGTTCACAAGTTTGAAAGCTGAGGATGTGTAAGAACATGGAGAGAGAGAAGCCTGTGCTGGTCATTCTTGGGTAGGGCTGCGTCGCCTTCTTGCACTGAACAAGTAGCAGTAGATGTCCCTAAATCTGTCTGGAGGATTGTCCACATGCCTATACGAGTTTGTGGCACCTGTCTGTACTGCTCCTGAGCACACAAGCTCAGAGTCTGGTCCTGCTCCCTCCTTCTTTCAAGCCTGTGAGAATCAACACATCTCTTAAAGTAGCAAAGAGTTATTCCTTCCCTCATTTGTTTTCAGTTAGAGACTGTTCATCCTCCCTTACCATCAACATGCAGTATAAATAGTTCCAGAAAGAAGTCAAGGAAACAGAGTTAGCTGTTCCTTTGTTGTGGGATGCAACGTGTACTGCAACTGGCAGAGTGTACCCCACTGGTGAAATGGCATGGCTGGGGGAAGTTTGGCGTGGCCGTGATCCGGCAGACTCAGGAAAGCAGTGTCTCTCACCATTCTGGCTGGCAAAGTGCTGGCCTTCGGGTGAGAGCAGTGTCCCCTCATTAAAAAGAAATTGCCCTAAGGCTAAGACCAAAATGCATTTTCTTCCAGTTTCTTTGACTGAAGCTGGAACTCCTCGGTGTCCAAATTGGTAAAAATCAACTGCACCTACAGGAATTTCAATCACTGCAAGCTGAGCTCTGCTTCCTTCACCTCATCCCATCCTTATTAAATTTTGCAGTAAGCTCGAGGGCAAAGCTGAGACATAAAAGAATCTGTAGTTTCTGTAAGTCTTGAACCCACTGTAGCTATTTTTGAAGCTTCCTGGCGTCTTGCTGCTCTTTTTGTTCGTCTGCTGTGGAGGACAGTCATGGAGAAGAGGAAGGTGATGCGGAACCCAAACCAAGGGGTCACGCTCTACGTGAGGCCACCTGCAGTAGGTCCCATGGAGCATGTTGTGTGCAAGGAACCTGGAAAGGCTGCTTGCACAAGGACCCCTGGACCAGGTCGTGGGGAAAACCTGGGCGACAAGCTTTGAGTTGCCAAGCCATTGAAGCAGGACAAGTGTGGGAGGTTGATCTCTTCCAGGTTTGTTTTTTTTTTTTTTTTTT